TTTATATTGAGTTACAAAGGACTCGTTCATTTCACCGATTCGAGTTTTCAGTTTTAAGTTTCTACAGTAAAAAGCTCTCAAAAAATGCAACATCTAACTTTTTCTGCTATAGTGAAAAATTCTCAAAAAATATCACATCTCAACTCGAATCCGCGAAATGAACGAGGCCTAACAAATTGAGGATTACCATTTATTTCTATTCTTAGTTGTAGACTAGTGAGATGTCCGTGCTATTGCACGGATGTGTTTTTATTTATTTTATCATAAGATTAAATTAAATAATATAGTAAGTAGTTATAAAATAGTGATCACACTGAAAAAATATTTTAGAAAAATAGAGTACGATAATGTCATTCAAAGGTTAACATAAACCATTATAAATGCTCAAAATATAGTTTACAGATTGTTGTAACTAGTACATATGCATATTTATTAATTTACAAATATATACGTATATATACATATTTATATATGTATATGTGTACATATATTTCTCACGTGATTTGTTGATTAGTCTTCTCTATATATTTTTTCTTTGTTTCTTCTGTGCTGCAATAAAGCAAGCATAAAATAAATATTAGTTGTTAGTACATTATAGCTGATGGTGATAGTTTGTTTCTTACAGAAATAGGCGTTTTAATATAAAAAAAGAAAAATACTTTGGTGGCTTTCTTTTTTTCGATGAGTTAACAGAGGAAGTTAGTGAGGTTGCTGGTGAGGACTATAATAAAGTTAAATATTATTATACAATTATTGATATTGGCTTTAAATTTTTAATGTAAAAGAAGTAAAACGTGAATGGTAATTTACCTTCCTTCGACACTCCTGAATGTGAAAAATTTTTACTAAAACGTTATATAATTGTTTTTTTTATATTTATTTTTTAAGAGTGCCGTATAAAATATCTAGTATTAAAAGACTATTTGTTATTATTTCAGTAGAAGAATGCATTTAAAATGTATATGTTGTATGATAAATTCAAATAAAACTCGTAAAATTTATCTCTGTCGTTGAAATTCTCACTTTTGCATATAAGAGAAGTCTGCACAACGTGAAATTCTCTATCATAGAGAAATGTTACCTTTGTCTTTGTTCAACTATACACATTTAAAGAAAATGTGGACGTTGCTTAATTAAACAAAAATACAGCAAAATGTATTATCATTATTAAATACATTACATGATAATACTGCAAAAGGAGGAAAAAAAATTATACTTCTTTATAATACATTTATTGTGATATTTACATCATAAACATTTAAGTAGTCGGATAATGCTCTTTTTTTTTATAAGACACTTTCATTGAACGCCTAATTATCAAATCATTTCTTCGTCTTCTGACGTGGAACAAACACCGTTCATAAATGATAGTGGTATAAACATGTCATATCACAATCAATTTGTATACACTACCTAACATTTTTCTCCACATCGAAACAACCTTTTGTGTAAGTAATGGAAAATAGAAAAAGTTTATATACAATACCAACTTACATGGATAATACAATATAAAAATAAAGCAAAGAAATTAGTTGATTACATATATGAAAGTCGGTTCAGGTATTTGTCTTAAATCGCTTACAACACGTATGATAAGTAATTGAAATAGACTTCAACAATGTTCTTCAGTGCTAACTATATTATTAGAGGATTTATGCAAAATGAAGGAAAAAAACAGGCAGAATAAGAAAGAAGCAAAAATAAGAGAATAAAGAGAACAAAAGGCTCAGGTAATTATCTTTTATTGCTAACAATATG